CAAAAGTGCTTGTCGACAATGGAGCAGCTATAAACACCATTCCATCCAGAATGATGAGAAAGCTCGCAAAGACAGAGGGTGATATGATTCCTACAGAGGTCATCCTCACCAGCTTCAATGGAGGAGCAACTTCAGCTAAGGGAGTTATGCCATTGGACATAACTATAGGTACGACTACTAGGACCACTGTCTTCTTTGTAATAGATGGTCCTACTAGTTACAACGTGCTCTTAGGAAGGGATTGGATACACGGAAGTCGATTTATACCCTCGTCGCTCCATCAATGCCTGATTTTTTGGAATGACAAACTCAATGCCCGATCATAGGCCTTTTGTCGCAGAAGCAAACTTAGTGGAAAAGTTTATGTACGAAGGAAACTATGGACCTGTCAGAGTAATACAAGACGGGGAAGAAACTCAAGTTGTCGCACAGAGCGAAGAACCATTCTCAATGGACGCACTCGCTGAGATGTTCAAACAGATGAGGCCAAACATAGTGGCCTTAGGAGAGCCAGTGATTGGCAAAAGAATAATCAAGAAATCTTGAATGGATTCTGAATTGCAAAAGCAAATGGCCGATATTCAGGCCTTCAAAGCCAGACTGATGGTTTTTAATAAGGAATGCAATGACAAAGCAAAGGAAGAGACTGCCCTAAAAGCGTTGAAGGACAAGTTGGCAGTATTCGAGTTAGAGCAAAACCTTGGCCGAGAAGTCAACAAAGTGGACTGTTTGGAAGAGGAAGTACTTACAAGAGAACTGGACGACGAAGTGATGCGGATTGCCAAACCTGGATACGCTCAAGCACAAGATCCTCTGATCAAAGTAAACATTGGCAATGAGGGAGAAGATCACCCAACGTTCATCAGCTAGATGCTCGACCAAGAGGTTAGTAATAAATTAATCGCTTTGTTAAAAGAGTACAAAGATTGTTTTGCTTGGGAATATGAACAAATGCCTGGTTTAGATAGAGACTTGGTGGAACATAGGTTACCGACTAAGCCTAATTTTAAACCTCATAGGCAACC